GTGTCATGTCCGAGAGAAGACTGGGAGTCCATGAGCGGTGTCAAAAACCAGCAGAGCCATGGGCCCCAAAAGGATCAGACACCGCAGCATGGACGTTCTGCATGCTCATGCGTCCTAGCCTCCCAGCCTTTGCCTGGATTGATTTGGAGCCGTGCAAGCCTGAACCAACCCTGTAAGATTGCTTCATCAGAGAGGGGGGCTTTCTGCAGGCATCCACGGCATGATGATGAGCTTAGGTCTGGTTCACTTGGCCGGCCTTCCCTGCCTGGTGGTTGGTGTCCGCGGAGGGTTTGGGCCTCCTGGAGGATGCCAAGTCCAACTCTGTGGGCTTCGCCATCCTCAACTGCATCTCCAAGGTCTCATGAAGGGGGCCGCCGCTTTTTCCTTTTGGCTCTCTTGACCAATTGCTCGGGCTGTTTGATGTTTTGTCGAGCCTGCCTCAGCACAGTCGCCGTGCATTGATCTCATGTTGAAGCAGTTGCCATTCTTCGCGTTCCTTTGAATTTGGCTTGCCACCAGCCCATGACCAGGGCTCCTTCACCTACTTCATGCTGAAGACTGGGGCAGACCACAAGAGGCGTTGGGCCAAGCAGCCGAGCACTGGAACCAAACCTGCGGAGACCAACTGGATGGTGAGAAATCTTCAGAGCTACGACTCCCAGGGTGCCCCCCAGGCCGGGCAGGCCCCTCTTGCGGCCGCTGTTCGCGAAGGAGCCTTTTTGTTTTCTCGGGGTTTGTGGCTTCGCGTGACGCTCGCCAGGTGCAAAAGAGCTTGCCCGCGGAAGCTGAAGGCGAGAAGGACGCGTCAGATACTGAGCAGGCGCAGAATACTTGGGTCTGAGAGGCGTTGATGCCCAACCGCCTTTGTTCGCAAGGGCTTGTGAAAAGGAACACGCCGACCATTCTTAAAAGGGTTCTATATTATTTCAAGGATTTGCTCCCCGCTGGAGTGGGATCCGTTTCACAAGGATAAGCAAGCAATCAAGCAAGCAATCAAGCCAGCAAGCAAGCCAAGCAAGCGATCAATCAATCACTCAATCAATCAATCCACCATCCTAAACACACTCTAAATCGAAAACCACCCTGAACGCATCCTAAAGCAATCCTCAAGTTATGCTAAACCAACCATGAATCAACCCAACCCATCGCAAACATGCTCCCTGGGCCCACTGTAGACCATCTAGGTCCACCCTGCACCAACCGTAAACCCTGCACCAACCTTAAACCGCATCCCAAACCTGCCTAAGCCAACCCTTACTGTAACTGGTAAGCGACCCGAAACCCAGGCTGCCTTTAGCTGTTTCTGAATTGAATTCTGAGCTTAGGATCATCCGGCTCTTGAAGGGTGATGTAGGGATGCCAACCGGCCTTTGATTTGGACATGCGGCGCATCATCCTTTGGGTTGGGCATGTAGCCGTCTCGCAGATTCAAGCTGAGCTCATTGGTTCACCACATGGTGGCGTTTTCTGGGATCACTGGAAGACCTGCCACCTGCCAAGGCGCAAGCCTAAGCAAACCTTTGATCGCCTCAAGTAATGAGAACCCGGACTGGGCCGGGCAGGGCCTTCGTTTGATGCTGTGCTCAACCTGTTATATATGCGGGCTTGCTTGTTGCAGAGCGTTAAATTGTGCAAGAGAGAAAGTTCTATCCAATATTCGCAAGTGGTATACTATGCATCCACCGCTTGTTTCTGACCCGGCACCGTTGTTCTGGCATTAAGTCCGCTCGTTTGAGGGTGTCCCTCTTGGCCTGGCAATTTGAAAGCTTGGACATGCGATTAGACTTGCAATTCTCGCATGTTTCCCAGGGGGAGTTTGAGACAGTGTGGCGCAGCTTCGACAACCTTGACACTGAAATGTGGTAAGACTGGAAAGATTGGAAGCTGGCCGCTGTTCTCAGACGCACCTTGACGGGCGTAACTGTGCCCCTCTCCCATGGTGCCGCCGCTGCTTTTCCTGCTTTCGTCGAACTAAAGTAGCTAAAAAGCAGGGTGAATAATTTCTGTGGGACACCTATGCTGTGGGAAGCTCTAATTCTTGGCGAAGCCAAGCGAGCTTTTTCAAGAGGTGTATGCACCAACGCAACAATGCGATCACATATTGCCCAGGAAGCTCGGACATTTTGCTTTATGCCATCAGCCAAGCCCAACATTCGAGCCAGCATTTTGAGTAGCTGAATGTCAAACACACGTGGCAACAAGACGCAGCCTGTGTTTTCACGTCAGGGCTGTAACTGCCGTCTGGCATTTGGCGTGGTTCGCGCCCAGACTGTCGAGGCCGGGCTAGCATTTGGTCCGTCCTCAGATTTTTTCAATTGCAGAGTCCACTTTTTACAGCTGGCACTGCCGAGCTCGACTCACCACTACTCGCCGCATCTCTGAGAAGAACTCTGTCATGACGTTTCTAAGAAATTTTACTCCCCCATGACACTTGTACCTGAGCCAGCTGAAAAATGCGGCATTATGCATAGCTGGCAGTGCAAGACTGGTTTATACATTCAGCCCCCAGTAGGAGCCCTTTGTTTATTGGTTGGCATGACTGACCCTTAGTCATGCTTTAAGTGTGGGCAACCAGCCCCTAAAAGGCCAAAGTGGGCCGCATGAAGTCACCATGGCGTCACAAGCATGCGAACCGGCTTGCTTCGCCTTGCGCATATCATGCTGTAGCTTGTTGTGGGTTTGCTCCTTGATGTGGATGCATCCACTACTCCGGGGCCTGTCACCTCGGCTTTCGCGACTTTCCTGGCTTTGGATTTGATCATTTGGGCTTGGGCCCACACATTTCCTGTCGGGGCTGCAGCATGGGCCCAACTCAAGCAACCTGACCATGCACGTGTCCCCATGCATCCTTTGTGGAATCGTTCTTGTGGCATAGTTCAGGCGCGCGGATTGATGAAGCCGTTGTGCATGGCCCGGGCGATTTGTGGTGGATGTGATTTGTTGGCTTAACAGTTGTTTGGGATGCGTGCGGCTTGCTTGCTCACGCCCTATCAACGGAATCCACTTGCCGCTTTGTTTTTCAAAGGCAGCCCAAGCTTGAGTAGTTCACCCGGTCACCCTGCCTTTCAATCACCTGATTCCGCGATGTTTGAGATGGCAGAAAGCTAGATGGCTAGAGGTTGGTTCAGGTATAGAGGGCACAGTCCGATTGCACACCTTCCGCAGTGCCTGTTTGCTACGGATGCAAACATGGGTACGCCAAGGTCACAAGTAACACAGCGCACATCAGCATTTGTTGGCTCCAGCGATCGTGCCTACCGGCCATTGCCGAACATATGTGAGAATGGCTCGAATTGAGGCCGGGCTGCTGCCTTGCTCGTGGCAAGGTGCATGGCAAGCAGGCAAGTCAATAGTCTTCTGCAGGCAACAGGCGAATCAGAACCCACACTGCTATGTCCGCCTTGGGTAATTATTGCGATGTCGTGGGCGATATGCATGACAGTGGCGTCTTTTTTCCCCGTGAACCTTGAACATTGCTGGATTGTAAAGTTGCCTTTGCATGCCTTTGCGTGCGCGTCGTGTGCGTATTTTTGGCGCGGGAGCGTGTGAGGGTGCGGGCACGGGTGCCGGGAAGGGTGCGGGGGTCCGGGTGTGTGTGGGTGTGGGTGTGTGTGTGTGTGTGTGTGGGCGGGTGTGTGTGTGTGTGTGGGTGTGTGTGTGTGGGTGTGTGTGTGTGGGGTGTGTGTTTGTGTGTCGGGTGTGCTTGTGTGTGCGGGTGTGTGTGTGTGTGTGGGTGGGTTCGTGCGTGCGTGCGTGTGTGGGTGTGGGTGTGCGTGTGTGTGTGGGTGTGGGTGTGGGTGTGGGTGTGTCTGTGTGTGTGTGTCTGTGTCTGTGTCTGTGTCTTTGTCTGTGTCTGTGTCTGTGTCTGTGTCTGTGTCTGTGTCTGTGTCTGTGTCTGTGTCTGTGTCTGTGTCTGTGTCTGTGTTTGTGTCTGTGTCTGTGTCTGTGTCTGTGTCTGTGTCTGTGTCTGTGTCTGTGTCTGTGTCTGGGTCTGTGTCTGTGTCTGTGTCTGTGTCTTTGTGTGTCTGTGTCTGTGTCTGTGTCTGCGTCTGCGTCTGTGTGTGTGTGCTTGTGTGCGTGTGTGGGCATGTGTGGGCGTGTGTGGGCGTGTGTGGGCGTGTGTGGGCGTGTGTGCGCGTGTGCGCGTGTGAGCGTGTGCGCGTGTGCGTGTGCGCGTGCGCGTGCGCGTGCGCGTGCGCGTGCGCGTGTGCGTGTGTCTGTGTGTGTGTGTGGTGGGTGTGTGTGTGTGTGTGTGTGTGGGTGTGTGTGTGTGTGTGTGTGTGTGTGTGTGTGTGTGTGTGTGTGTGTGTGTGTGTGTGTGTCTTCGCGGGCGTTGTGTTTTTGGTTTGTTTGTTTGCTTGTTTGTTTGTTGGTTTGTGTGTTTGTGGTTGTGTTTGTCTGGTCTGTTTGCTTGGTTGTTTGATGTTGTTTGTTCGTCTGTTTGTTTGTCTGTCCGTCTGTTTGTGTGTCTGTGTGTCTGTCTGTCTGGCTGGCTGGCTGGCTGTCTGTCTGTGTGTCTGTGTGTGTTCCTCTGTTTGTGTGTGGTCTCTTGCCTGTTTTGCCTTTTCTGGCCTTGTGTCACTTTGCTTCTTTGCTTGTTTGTTTGCTTGTTTGGCAGCTTGGTTTTGCCGGTTTGTTCGTCGCCTCTGTGTGTTTCGGTATTTGTGCGTTTGGTTGATTATGTGTTCGCTTGTTTGCTTGGTTGTTTGTTTGTGTGTTTTGCGTTGTGTTTATTTTTGTGTGTGTGGCTTGGTTGGTTGGTTGGTTGGTTCATTGGTTGGTTGGTAGGTAGGTTTGTTTGTTTGTTTCTTTGGTTGTGTCTTGGTTTGTTTGCTATGTTGTACTTGTTGATTGGTTGATTGAGTGGTTGATCGAATAATTGGTTGTTTGATTGATTGATTGACTGATTGATTGATTGGTTGGTTGGTTGGTTGGTTGACTGATTGATTGCTTGCTTGATTGTTTGATTTGCTTTGATTTGTTTTAATTTGATTGATTGA